TGTATTCTCTCCCCTGTCCAAACCGTGTTCCCAGCACAGAACTCAGACCTGGCTATACAGAGGTGAAAATAACTGGCAATGTTATTTTGCCAGAGGGACTCAACCAAGCAGAATAAAAACCATGCCCTCCAGCAACGAGGGCCCTGAGGCCAGGAAAAACGCTAAGCGCAGAGGGAGCAAGAATTGGCAAAGCTTCCTCCAGAAAGTGGGAGCCCTCTTCTTTCCCTTCTCCCCCCTCCCCGCCCCCCCCCCCAGTCCTCCTGGCCACTCCCAGAGAAGCTCTGGGTCACAGGGACTGTCTGCATTCTATTGCCTGTCTTCCCCTCAGGAGTGTCTCATTCCCCCTGTACCAACCCCAGGGCCCCTGAAGAGGAAGTGGCAAGTGCAAGACTAATTGAAGGACATCTCAAGAAGGACTCCCTTGTCCTGTGGCTGGGGCTGTTTTTATTTTTTAAAAAGATTTATTTATTTATTCAAAAGGCAGAGTTATAGAAAGAGAAGGAGAGACAGAGACTGAGAGATCTTCCATCCACTGGTTCGCTCCCCAAATGGCCGCAATGGCTGGAGCTGGGTCCATCTTCTGGGTCTCCCACATGGGTGCAGGGGCCCAAGCACTTGAGCCATCCTCTGCTGCCTTCCCAGGCCATTAGCAGGGAGCGGGATGGGAAGTGGAGCAGCCGGGACTTGAGCAGGCACCCACATAGGATGCCGGTACCACAGCCAGAGGTTTAACCTACCTCGCCACAGCACCGACCCCAGGGGCTGTTTTTGAGTCTTTTCATTGACACAGCTGGAGCAGCAGACAACATACACACAGCTGACCACAGTGCCTTTGGGTTTCTACCAGATTGACCCAGCCCTTGAGGGATAAGGACTTTTTTTTTTAGACAGGCAGAGCTAGACAGTGAGAGAGACACAGAGAAAGTTCTTCCTTCTGTTGGTTCACCTCCCAAATGGCCACTACGGCCAGCGCTGCACTGATCCAAAACCAGGAGCCAGGTGCTTCCTCCTGGTCTCCCATGCGGGTGCAGGGCCCAAGGACTTGGGCCATCCTCCACTGCCTTCTGGGGCCACAGCAAAGATCTGGACTGGAAGAGGGACAACTGGGACAGAATCCGGGGCCCCAACTGGGACTAGAACCCGGAGTACTGGCGCCGCAGGTGGAGGATTAGCCTAGTGAGCCGCGGCACTGGCCGGATAAGGACTTTCAACTCCAAAGCTTGATCCCCTAAATATTCCTCGGGTATTTCCATCTGAGGGTAGCAACTCACGGCTTGGGAGTGACATTTAATAGATTGGGATCAATCATTCATAAGTAAAACAGAGAACAGAATAAAAATAGAAAAGTTTTCTTTTAGGGCTGGTGCTGTGGCATAGCCGCTAAAGCCGCCGCCTGCTGTGCCAGCATCCTATATGGGCGCTGGTTCGAGACCCGGCTGTTCCACTTGAATCCAGCTCTCTGCTATGGCCTGGGAAAGCAGTAGAAGATGGCTCAAGTTCTTGGGCCCCTGCACCCACGTGAGAGACCCGGAAGAAGCTCCTGGCTCCTGGCTTCAGATCAGTGCAGCTCCAGCCGTTGCAGCCATCTGGGGAGTGAACCAGTGGATGGAAGACCTCTCTCTCTCTCTCTGCCTCTCCTCTCTATGTGTAATTCTGACTTTCAAGCAAAATAAATAAATCTTTTCAAAAAAGAAAAGTTTTTCTTTTAAATCCAAGTATTTGGGGCTGGCACTGTGGCAAAGCAGGTAAAGCTGCCACCTGCTGTGCCAGCATCCTAGTGGGTGGCACCAGCTTGAGTCCCAGCTGCTCCACTTCCAATTCAGCTCTCAGCTGTAGCCTGGGAAGGCAATGGAAGATGGCCCAAGACCTTGGGCCCCTGCACCCACGTGGGAGACCCGGAGGAATCTCCTGGGCTCTGGCTTCAGATCAGCTCAGCTTTGGCCATTGCAGTTTATTGGGGAGTGAACCAGCAGATGGAAGACCACTCTCTCTCTCTCTCTCTCTCTATCTTTCTGCCTCTCCTTCTCTTGCTGTGTAACTCTGACTTTGAAATAAATAAGTAAATCTTTAAAAAAGAAATACAAGTATTTTCCATGTGTGTCCATGTTTCCTGGGACACGCAGATGCTGAAGATAGTAGGAGCCCCTCCCTAAGCTGAGAAGAGGCCCCGCCTCCACGGCAGCTGTCAGCCTCAGGGGTGTGCGCTGGGGTGCCTCCCCGCCTCCCTCCACAGCCCTGGGACCGGGAGAATATTCTTCTTAGTGTAAGTTTGGGGTCCAAGGGAGTAAGAGGGTAAAACAGTTGTTTGACCTGTGCAGAAAGCTTAAAGGCTCACCTCTGCTCACTTGCTTGCTCGCTCTCTTTGTAATTTATTTACTTGGAAGTCAAGAGCCTGCAGCTGACAGGTATCTCCACAAAGAGCCAGCCCTCTCTACATTCACAGAGGAGCCCAGGCCTGCTCCTGGACCCTGCCCGGGCTGTGCCTCAGGGCTGCGTGTGCCTCAGCCTGCTGGGGAGACGGCCGGGCTCACTAGGCCAGGCTGGGGGAGGCTGAGCACGTGTTTCTGGAAGGCTGTTGTCTGTGCTCCTGCACGGGATACGCAGCGGCTCCCTGTGCATTGCTTTCTCGGTGCTAGAGGAGTGACCCGGAGACCCTAAGCTGCCTGTCCCTGCATCAGGTGTGTGGCTCTGGGTAACTGGGTCACACTGTGCCTCCGTTTCCTCGTTTATAAAATGCAGGTCATAACCGCACTTGGTCCACAGCCCCTCTGCAGAGCTTAACCCAGCACACACATGCCAAGTGCTCACTGTGGTCCCTGCACACAGCGGCCATTCCGTGCGTGCTAATCACTGTTACAGAATCACCATCCACCTGGGTGGTAGTCACTAGTTTTTCCATATTTATAGATAAGAAAAACGAGGCACCCAGAAAGTAACCTGCCCTGTGTCACGTGTCATGTGGCTAGCAGAGGCCCAGCCACAACCCAAATCCAGATCTCCTATCCCTAAAGATGCCTCCTTGAGCTAGAGGAGGCAGCAGCAGGGGACCAGCTCCTGAGCTGTCACTCACCAGCCTCTGCTGGGCCTAGGCCCTCACGCCCAAAAGGGCAGCGTGGGACCAAAGGTGCCTGGGGGGAGGGGATCCCCTCCTCATGGTGGTTCCCAACGTAGTCTTTAGGGAGTTTATACTGAGACACACACACACACACACATACACACGGACTTCAAAACGCTTGTGGAAAAAAATTAAAAGGTAAGTTTGTTTTGATTCAAGAACATTTTGAAATCCATGCCTATGAGAGGTCTTCTAAAAATTCCTGGAAAACGCATATTATAAGAACAAGATGCATAGATTTCAATGTTTATGTACCTGGTCTTTTCATTCTATCCTTCCATGAATGCGTTGAGTGCCCTCATACATGCAAATTCATCTGACAGGGAGTCAGCAATGGGTGCCATTACTTGCACCGCCACCCAGAGGCACCCTTCTGGGTTCCGGGCTAACTGGGCAAGGACAGGCATGCAGGGTAGCCGAGCCCGGCAGGTGGCGATGCAGACGGAGACAGCCGTGTGAGGGCTGACCTCAGCAGCTGAGCAGCAGCCACGCTCTGGGTCCTGCTCTTGCCCGGCTGTGACTGCCCCTTTTCTGTACTCTAAGGACCCAGCGACTGAGGCTGCTTCCCCACACAGGGACCTGGCCCTCCACAGCCAGCACCCAGCATGCAGCCTGACAAACAAACGCGCAGGAGCAGTGCTATTTTGATTTTTGAAAAAGATTTACTTAATTATTTACCCCCAATGCCTGCCAGAGTTGAGGGTAGGCCGAGCTGAAACCAGGAGCCAGGAATTCCATCAGGATTCCCATATGGGTAGGAGGGGACTCCAGTATTTGGACCGTCATCTGCTGCCCCCCGGGCACATTATCAGGACTCAAACCAGGTACTCCCATAATGCATGCCAGCAACCCAAGTGCTGGCCTCACATGCTGTGCCACAACCCCAGGCTGGTAGTGGTGATATTTTTCAGATGCTTAGCATTTTGGCAGCCAGCGCTCTCTGAAATGACCACACCACCATGTATAAATGCCATGAAAATAAGTGTTTGTATGACAATCAGGAGACAGGATTCTGAAGCGGTTTTTACACCTTGTGGTGTATTTGGGATAGCTGTACTGGCCTTTGTTATAGTCAGTTGCGGTGGTAGGGGGGCTCAAATCCACATGCTTGTCTATGGGAATTCTGTGAAACTCGTTAACCCCAGTTCTCTGATTGCGCTGGTTAGCAAACTGCATGATTCTCAGACAGCCCTTTTCATCCCGCACTGGCCTGGGCACGGGAGGTGTCTCAGTGCCTGCCACATTCTTGGCAGCCGCTGGTACTCCCATGGTGTAAGGGATCTCCAGCTGTCCAGGAGGAGCTGCGGGAACAGGCTCCGGGGCTCTCACAATGCAGTCGGAATGGCCCCCCTTGCCAGGCCACCAACAGGCCATGTAATGCAGATAAAATAAGAACTGACTTCATCTCCACCCCAAACCCTGCCCAGGCACTTTCTGAGGAGATAAACCCATTGGCTGCACACATCTGCACTCCACAATACTGTCCGAAAGGAAATCGTCCAAGAGGAGAAATCTCTGGGGTGCAGCCCCCATCCGGCCCTGGAACAGCCGAGGCCAAACAGGCTCCTGTTCCCCCAGCACCCTGGGGAGGCATCAGCCAGGGAGGAGCCGGGATGGGCACAGTGGATGAAGCCCACCGGTTCCCTCTGGCTTCCATTTCAGACTACAGCTCCAGCAAGGATTCCAACGTTCTTCGGGGCAAAACCATGGCTGGGACAAGAGCCCCTGGGAAACCAAGAGGACCACGACGCACCCCCTGCCCCCACGCCGCCGCCCCGTTGTTCACACACCCCAGCCCGGCCGCACCACCCACCACCGGGAAGTAAAACGCGGCAGCCGTGGGTGCGCAGGCGCCGCGCTCTCCCGCGCCCCGCACGCCCCCTACCTCGAGCACAATCTCCTTCAGCTGGAACTGCTTCTGGGCCACCTTGTCGGCCGACACCGGCGCGTGGTAGTAGAGGCACAGCAAGTCGTATTTCTTCAAAATCTGCTTGAAGTTCTTCTCCGAAAGACTCACCACCCGGTCCTTCCCGTCGTACGTGGGGAAGTTGAGACCCTCTTCGGCCCTGCAAGAGGACAGCAGGTAGACCCCCACGACGAACAGGTGAGCTCTCTTCATCTGGGACAAGTTTCCCGTCTCCTTCCCCAAACGTGCTGTGTGCCCGAGGGAGCACGGCAGATTCCTGGAGGCCTGGATGAGCCCGCTGGGCAGGACACAGGGAGGCTGACCTCTGCCCAGCTCCGCCCGGGGCCCCCAGCTCCTTGTATGCGTGGGCTCAGGACACCGAGGGGCGGCGCATCGCCACATGCGCACGGCCAGGCCCAGCCCCGGATACCTTACATAGCTCGGCCCAGCCCCTGTCTCATTGGGAACTCCATTTTTAGGATGCAGTTGTTTCGGGCTAAAAATAAATCATGCAATGAATAAAAAAGTTAGATATGACACTGTGGAGGGATTCGCTGATACAGCCTGTCAGCCTGGTGGAGTGGCTGGAGGCACACGAGGGGGATGCGAGCCCGGAAGGTCAGAGGAGAGGAGGCGCGCGGAGACGAGGGGAGAGAAAAGTGAGAGGCGGGGCAGCTGGCTCTGTGGCTCCCATGAGCAGATGGCCAGGCCGCAGCCTGCACGTTAATGCCCTGCTGAGTGCCTCTATGGAGGCCACACAGCCTGGCCCCTCCTGGCAGGCTAGCACCCCTCCTACCCACTGCAACACCGCAGCAAAAGGGAGTGCCCCAGGGGGCAGCTCCATGCTCTGCACCTGTCTTCCCTGTTTAGAGACCCTGAGAGAAACCCTGTGCATGGTGCCCCCTGGGAGAGGGACATGAGGACACCCTTTGCCCCAGCCCTGCACACACAGGGCTGCAAGAGGCCCCAGGCCACCTTGTTCCTTGTTCCTTTCCTGGCTGCCGCCAAGCCCTGTCCACATCAGGGGAGCATATCAAGCATGTCCTTTTTTTTTTTTTAAGATTTATTTTTATTTATTTGAAAGAGAGTTACAGAGAGAGGTAGAGACAGAGAGAGAGGTCTTCCTCTGGTTCACTCCCCAGATAGCCGCAATGGCTGGAGCTACGCCAATCTGAAGCCAGGAGCCAGGAGCTTCTTCTGGGTCTCCCATGTGGGTGCAGGGGCCCAAGAACTTGGGCCATCTTCTACTGCTTTCCCAGGCCATAGCAGAGAGCTGGATCAGAAGAGGAACAGCTGGGACTAGAACCAGTGCCCATATGGGATGTTGGCGCTTTAGGCCAGGGCTTTAACCCACTGTGCCACAGTGCCAGCCCCAATGTCCTTGTTTTAAAACTAAATAAAATAGGGTGGGCACTGTGGCATAGTAGCTAAAACCATTGTCTACAGTGCCAGCATCCCATATGGGCACCGGTTCCAGTCTTAGCTGCTCCATTTCCAATCCAGCTCTCTGCTATGGCCTGGGAAAACAGTGGGGGATGGCCCAAGTGCTTGGGCCCCTGCACCTGTGTGGGAGACCCAGAAGAAGCTCCTGGCTCCTGGCTTCAATCTGGCCCAGCTCCTGCCATTGTGGCCACTTAAGGAATGAACCAGCATATGGAAGACCTCTCTCTCTCTCTCTCTCTCTCTCTCTGCCTCTGCCTCTCTGTAACTCTTTCAAATAAATAAATCTTTAAAAAAAAAAAAAACTAAATAAATAGAGGTTCAACAGGCTTGCTCAGAAACCCTCTGAGGTTCCTTGCTGCCATTCCTGTCATATTCCTTCAATTTTTTTCCCCTTCCATTAACCCCAATCAATCACTATGGCCCTTCCCTCTTCATTGGAGACAGATGGTTGCAGGAAGTCTGGAAGCCAGACAGATCAGAGCTCCAGCCCCGGCTCTGCCTTGTAATAGCGGATGATCCCATTCTCTGCACCCCTCTGTGGAAGCTGGGGAAGCCCAGAAACAGAGGGAAAAGCACAGAACCAAAGGCTGCTGGGAAACAGCACCTGCTAACCTTCAGCCTTGTGGAGGCGTGAGCCATCGCTAACTCTATGTTGGTTTCTAGTGTTAACGGCTCGTCAACCCTTTCCTGTCCACTCTCCCCTGGAGCCCGGCGGGCAGTTGGGGCAGCAGTGACACGTCCCCATTTGACAGATGAGCTCACTGAGTGAAGTTCAGAGAGATCGGAGACTGCTCTGAGACAGCAGCAGTGCCAGCTGCCATGGGAGCGCTCGGCACTGCCCCCAACAGTTCTCCTGCGTCCATCCTTTTTCCTTAGTCCTTCTCTGCTGGGAAGACATTGGTCCCCTCGTGGTTTTGACTCGCCACAAGGATCTCAGGTCCTGATCATCATAGCCATTTTCCCTCGCCTTGGGCTGGGAGAGTCCTTTGCAGCTTTCACAGGGGTTGGAAGGAAGGCAGGAGTCTGGGGGGTGGGGGCGAGGCCTGCGCTGCAGCCGAGAGCCTCAATGCTGAGAGCCGCGGCCTCGGCTCCACCTGTGCGCATCCAGGAAGCCAGGGCCTTGGAGAGCCCATCACGGACACCCCAGACTGCATTCTTTCCAACCATGTGGTCTCCACGGCTTTCAAAGATGGGGCCAAGAGCGGCCGGTGCTGTGGTACAGCGAGTTAAAGCCCTGGCCTGCAGTGCCTGCATCCCATATGGATGCCAGTTCTAGTCCTGGCTGTTCCACTTCGATCCAGCTCTCTGCTATGACCTGGGAAAGCAGTAGAATACGGCCCAAGTCTTTGGGCCCCAGCACCCACATGGGAGACCGGGAAGAAGCTCCTGGCTCCTAGCTTTGGATCAGTGCAGCTCCGGCCATTGTGGCCATTTGGAAAGTGAACCATCGGCTGGAAGACCTCTCTCTCTCTCTCCCTCTCTGCCTTTCCTCTCTCTGTGTAACTCTGACTTTCAAATAAATAAATAAATCTTAAAAAAAATTTTAAAAAAAGATGGAACCAAGAACAAGCCTTCTAAGGCATGGTCAGCTGTGGCGCGTGTGGGGGCTCTGCTCTCTTTAGGAAAGAGAAGTCTTGGTGAGACAATGTAAGCCTTGTGTTTTCCAGGTCAGCCTCCCAAAGCATTTCCCAGTTGCTTCAGTCTTGTTGGGTTACCTTTATTTAGAATTCGCTCCACTTTTCTTAATATGTGCTTTTTTAAAAAAAAAGAAAGAGCTGTTACTAAAAAGAGAGAGAGAGAAATATTTAAGGTCAGAGTCTTTGCATTTCCTACTGGCTTGTATCCAACCCAGCTAACTGAGCAGGTGGCTGCCCCAGAGGCGGACCTGGGCCTTGCAGCCAGGGACCACTGCTGGGGTGAGTGTTTGTCCCCCCGCTGGCAGATCGGGCTCCCTCCAAGGAGACGGAGGCTGCATAGATGCCTTTCCCGGTACCGTCCTGATTTCCTACTTGCTGTTCTTTTCCCAAGCTTTGCTTTTCCTTTGCCTCACTGCCTCCCAGCCTTGTTTAGCTTGTCCATAAGGAAGCCCCACCCTCGCATCCTGCCAATCAGCTGCCTCACAGCAGAGCGAGAGGCGGCCCAACCAGTGGGATCCGCATGTGCTCCTAGCTCTGGGGTCAGGCCAAGCTGTGTGTTTTTCTGTGCCATTGGCAGGTACTTTCTGTGTGTTTTTTTTTTTTTTAAACAAGAATGGAGTAAAACAAAACGAACAGATCAACCCAAGCCGGTGTTAGCCACCGTCCCAACCTCGACGCGGGCCTGTTGCTTTACTGAAGCTCCAGTGCGTCACTGTGCGTGGGCACCATGCCAAAACCCGGAGCTAACCCAGCTTCCAGGAGTTCCTTCCAACAGGTGGCAGGACGATTTTCCAGGGGTCCTTTAAGTGATCTTCATCATGGAAGGATGTGAAGCCAGGATCTGTCAGTAACCTGTAGATTATAAAGATACTTCCATGGAGCACTTTGTATGTAGGAGACACTTTTCCAGGGGGAGAGGATGGATACGTTGTAATCCTGAATTCACCGAGCTCACCTCCTATAAGGGATCGTACCCTTCAACAAGAAATGGACAAAAAGTGTGTGTGTGTGATGACAAGCAGGCGTGAACTGTGCCCAACAATTGGAAGAACCCTTGAGAGCCAGCGGCTGTAGGCGGGAGTGTCGCACAGGTCACCGGCAAAGCATCCTTGAGGACAGAGGCTTGGGAGAGGAGGGTGAGGGGCAGGCGGAAAGCTGCCGAGGGCAGTGAGCCCCGGGAGGAGGTGGCTGGCGCCGTTCTCAGGGGCTCTGGGGAAGCCGGGCTACCAGGGCTTGCAGCCACCCCTTCCTTCCTCCTGGCCCAGCACCAGTGTCCTCGCTCAGACTGTTTCGCAGACGCGCTCACCCCCACCCCGAGGAGCCTCCGGGGCACCGAGAAACTCAGGGGGCTTGAAGTGCGGGCGCCTCCACCAGGAAGGCGGGAGGCTGCTGCTCCCGACCTGCATCCCACCTGCCTCGGGCCTCCCGCCCTCCGGCCCTGCTCCGGGTGTCAGGTTCGCGGATCTCCCAGGCCTCTTGGATTCCTGGCACCAGGGCAGGCCTGAGTCTCCCGAATGCCGTCTGTGGGGCAGGGTTCTGATGGGCCGCCTCTCGTCGGCCCCAAGTCTGCTCCTCTCCCGCAGTTGCTAGCGGCTCCGAGGCGCCCGTCTGTGGCTAAAACACTCCCCCCAGTGGACAAAGCGGAACATGGCACCTTTGTTTCCTTGGCGTTACTCTTCCCTCCAGTTCTGCCCGGCCAGTGGGCAGGGCGGTAGCAAGTGAGCCTGGTAGAGAGAGGGCGGAAATGCTTGTGTCCAGACCCAAGCTCCATGAACTCAGGCCTGTTCTCAGCCCCGAGGCCTCCCTGCCTCCTAACTCCCGAACATCCCAGGAGCCTTCCCACCTCCCCAGCACCAGGAAACTCCTTCTCAGCAGAACATAGCAGAGAGAGAGCAATGCTAGCAGGAAGAGCCTCAAAGTCCCATCAAGGGATTCCTTGTTCTGAAAAATGCCACCTCCTCCAGGAGGCCCTCCTGATGACTCGGGGGCTAACGTCACTCCCCTGCTCAATGTCCTTCTCCTCCTTGGGAGCACTCCTTCCCCTGGGGCTGCAGCCCCTCGCCCACATGTACCCATTCACAGTATTCCTCATAGCCACCCGGGGAGCCAGTAGCGCATCTTATCAAATATGTGTTAATTAGAGTGGAAGCATAACCTTGTGCAGGGGCCTTATGTTAAGTCATTATAAATTTGACTCATTCATCCTCTTGTCAACC